CCCCACATACGCTAGCGCCGAAAACATTTGTCGAAGGTTCTTCGCGTGAACGAGCGGTTCCTCATGAAGTGCGAATATTTCCGCGGTCCTTCTTCACACGGTCTGTGGCATAACTTGAACAAAGAAAAATACTTACCGCCCAGGTAAGCTGGGGCTTATAAACGGTGAGATGTGGAGCAATGGGGCGTCCGAGAGCTTTCTGGCGCTGCAGATACGCCCATCCCCATTCTTGAATCGGTGTCTTAACAGCAGGTCGAGACATCGTGCTGGCGATCAGTCGCGATGCCATTAGCTGACGTGGAGTCACACGGCAAAGAACTTTGCCCATCAACATTGTTAATCTATAGAAAAATAAGCATTGATCGAGGGCAACTAGTAGCTTTTTCTGGTTTGTGATCGGATGAAGAGTACCCACGGTAATCGAGAAATTCTTAAAAGAAGGCAAAGAAAAGTTAAACAAGGATCACCTCACACAACACTATAAAGTGGAAAACTGTTCTGATAAGGCCGGAAACAACGTCATTATCAATTGATATAGAAATTTTACGAATTTAAAGCCACGCTCATACCTAGCAAGTGGAAGAATTCAACACCGCGACTCGAGAATCGCGAGAAAAGGACTGAGTGCCATCTATAGCTGATCGCTGGACCCCTGCAACTGCCACTGCGATCCCATTTTAAAGGTTCTTCTGAGCGTTCGCAGCAGTCCAGCGATCAGAGGTGGAGCACTATTGGGTCGCAGTCGCGAAGTATGAATGCAACGTAGGAGATAGATTGTTAGGGGACGTGCTTCGGCAAATAAGCACAAACGAAGACAATAATCAAATGACTGGAGGTCGTGCAACTTTCAACAAGTACTGAAGAGATAGGAAGTCATACAGCTTGCTAATGTGGTTCCCGCGCATCGTACAGATGTTCCCCATGGTATGATAGTTACAAAGAGAAACTGCAGCTGAAAGTTCAGAGATTGACATAAAAAAACCCCAGTACGCATATGGGTCTTCACGAAAGAAATGGGAGCCCAAAGAGTGAACATCGCGGTGAACACGGCAAAAGTCGCTCCACAGATAACAACCTTTGAACTCCAAGTTTTCATACAAACTCTCTGCAGTCGTTTGCGCTGAGAAGACACTCTGGTGATGGCTCAAAGGCAATCAAAATGGTAGGTAATGGGGATAACTCGAAGGGTGAGGCGGAGGTGGTGTTGTTGCAAGTGGTACGCATATATACCACTGAAGCCGGGTGAAGCCCTGGATGAGCCAACCATGCTTTCTACCCTCCGGGACGTACCAGATCCGTCTGGGGGGCGGATGTTACATGGCATGGTGTGGTAGTGTCGACATGATAACTCAAGACACTTTCACCATGCGGCATTCACTACGTTCCGTGAGGTTCCGATGTGAAGTTTCTTCCCCTTTTTTTTTTTCCCAAAAAAAAAAAAAAAAAAAAAAGGCCCCGCGGTCTATCTTGCGTCGACTCTTAGCGTTAGAAATCACCGACGATGACCTTGAAGAAGGTATGATCTTCCTTGTAGAACTTCTCCAATTCCATATAGAACGCTTCGAGCTCATCCTCGTCGTAGCTTGATGTTGGTGCGTAGGCGCGTACAGAAGAAGACAAGCTGGAGTTGAACCACATCTTCTCAATCGCAAACGTCCGATTCGGGTCGTCAGACTTTCGTACGAATCGATGTTCATGGCCAAGTGCGTGTTGACGAGGACGTCCACACCCGGCCAACGGCTTCTGATGTGGCGCATTAGTTCCGAGGACATTGAGTTCTCTTTCCAGTCCTGTACACGGCGGTGTAGGCGGCCGCTGCCTCCTCGTCTCGGGGTCAGTCGGGGGCATGGCGTCGTACTTGATCTTCCTGGCTTGCAACATCAGATCTTCGATGTGAGCTTCCGATGCAAGCGTCCGTGCGTTGAAAGTACAGATCGTCATCCTAGTCCTGGGCGACTCAAATCTCCGTTGGCCCTGTGATTTTAGCAAACCATCTTAGCAAGGCACCTACATAGCACCGCGGATTTACTCCCTTTGCAGAGCAGACCAAGTCTATTATGCAACTCTTGCGCCCTAAGCCTAAGTCGTTTGGCACAGAATAAACGTATATCGCCTTAAAAAACCACAACCGCCCCCCCCTCCCAACGTAAAGAATGCAGCGCCCCTGCGTTGTACTGTTTGTAATGCCTACAGACAAGCTCACAAAGTCCCCATTCGTTGCGAAGGAAAACCTACCAGGGCACGTTCGATGGGCGATTTTCGGTGAGCCCGTGGACGACCCCCTTTGGGGTTCGGTACGACCGCCTCCCCTATACTAAACTTATCTGAAGTTTCGGAAACAAGGAATTGAAAAGAAAGGCCATCTAGGTCCCTTCACCCACCTTCCTCGCAGTCAAAAACAAACTTGGGTACCTTAATTCAATTTGCAATTATAAAGTAAAAAACAAAACAGAAAATCAAAACCACATTCCTCACCCCTAAGATGCACTCTGAGCGGCTCACGCAAACAAACATTCGCCCCCATTGCCGGCGCGCTCTGACGTGTACTCGAGTAAACTAGAAGAAGATAAATATTCGATATTCGAGTAAACCGAGAAGATAAATATTCGATATTCGAATAAACCGAGAAGAAGATAAATACGAAAGAGTAAATACGAACGAGAGCAAACCAGCCGCAATCAGCTGATTAAAGGCCGAGGTACCGGGGGAGGGATTCTGGGCAGGACCAGCCATGTGGAACGCGAGTTTTCAGCAAAGTGGGGTGTCTTTGAAGGACCAACTTCCTCAAAAGCGGACCTGTGGGGAAGAGGAGACCGTATTCGTGTAGAGGAAGGTTTGCACTTCCTAAAAAGTGTAATGAAGCGAAGAAGTCGCCATAAGGCACAAAGATAAGATACTGCATGGGATTCGTTGGAGGAGAGTGATTTCAACTGAACAGGTTTGAATCAATATATTTTTTTGTAACTCAACATTTCACAAATCTGAGAACGGTTTCGAGTGTTTGAAGATTTTCTCTTTCTAAAAACCTCTTGAACTGTTTCTGAAGTTCTCGGGATTCATGAGATCTCGGGGATTTCTTGAGGAACACTCCCAGCTGCGCGAAAAACCCGTTTCCTGTGACCGTTCCATTGAAAGAACGTATTCTTTGTTCTGGAGCAGGAACAGAATATGTTCGTTTAGCGCCGATGTCACGGCTGACTTTGGATCGCGCGCACTGAGAGTTCCGCGCAGAGTGATGGAAATGGTGATTTAAACCTTGTTGCGTCATTGTCTGTCCACGGGCAATATGTCTGAGGATTCAGGGAGGTCCATGGGCGATACTGATGACTTGTTACTGTTTTCCAGTTTGCGTATTGAATTGAACCATGTCCCTAGTCGACCCTGACCAAGATTCGTGCTCCGCCAACTGCTGATTCCGATGAGGGACACCAAAACTGCTGGAAAACGTCTGATACGAACGATATGGTAGTCCGTTGTCGAAAAAAAACAGGTTGGCTCAGCGCCAAGCGCGACCGCGGACACGCCATATCATTGGCAGCGAACCAGAGTTTGAGTTGTACTGTTTAGTCACCAACGGACTTACGAGATAATGTTTGACTTCTGGGTGCTAACGTATTTGGGGGGGGACCACGCGGCAAGCGGCGAGTGGTGACTCATCAACTCTTCTGCTTCCTCCTCGGCAATATAGAAGTAATTTTCGGGTTTAGGACATGAATATAACTTCGCCCTAGCTATATTCAAAAGCTAAAACAGTTAAGGCTGAAAAGTGCGAAGAAACAGTTGTAGGCTGGAAGATTTTGCCTAAAATACAAACGAATGTTGCCTTTTTGTTGATTCTTGACTATAAAAGATCAAATATTTGTTGTTTTCAGCTTCTGTGGCATTTCCCACGCAAGTTCCTGGGAATCTGCTGTTTCTACTAATTTGGCTGCTGATTCGGCTTTCAAGTATGCCTTATGGAGTGAGAAACTGCATGATCACACTCGCCGCTCGGGGCGCGTTGTGTCCCCCCAAATACGGGGTAGCACGACACAAATTGCCAGTTATTTCGGATTAGTTTGATGAATGAAAGTTTTGTACTATTTTTTGCATATCCGAGTTCTCTACAAAGCAAGTTTCGTTGTACAGGACTCAGCACATTGACAATTTGCGCTGTCAGTTTACTAGGAAGCCGCACTCACTTACGACCCCTGGCGGCCAAATAGGACCCCCCGGGATTCCCCAACCAACGATGTGCCCTGAAACCCACGAACCATTGCACCGAAATTCACGTCAGCGCGTTGAATGGCACAGTTTTCGTGCGGTCGCTAGCGCCTGCGGCGTTTTGAAAGCCGAATGGTCGGCTCTGCGTTTCCGGCCCCATTGATAATTGTTCCATCTTGTTCGAACCATGCTTTCTTTTATTGATTAATGGTGCTAAGGTGTAATCAATTTTCAGTCCTGCTATCTGTCACTAGTTCTCTGTTGGTTGGGGTGCCTGTTTCTCAGTGAATTGAGTTGTATTGATCGCGATTGCACTTTGCGCCAATGCTCAGGTCATTCTCTTTCGACATCGTGTCTTGTTTGGTCTTGAGCAGTTTGAGAAATTTATTCTGGATTTATCTTGAGTGAGGGTAGGTGGGACAGTTGTTTCAAAATATTGCCGTATGGCCTAGCCTTCTAAAATGGCTTTTTCTTACGCTGTCTTCAAAATGCGTTATTGGAGGCGTTTTCTTTCAGGCATTTCTTCCATGTTACTGATTTTAGTTCTTACAATTATATTGTCTTGTTCAATAAATGTTGCTGGATGCCAGTCTCGTTTAAGGCTTGGTTGCGGAGCTTGAAAATGGTGAAACTGAACTTTCGTCTTGCGCAGTCTTATCCGTCATTCCTCGTTCACGATCTGAGTCAGTTGAGAACCCTTTTTTCAATCTTTACATTTATACTTTTGATGGTCTTGGAGGTAACTTTGGCACTTCTTGTGTTCCGCTTGCTAGCATGAAAATTGGCTGTATCATCATTTTTGCGTTGTTCCCATCATCTCGATCTTACCACACTGTGAATTGAAGAATGTTTCGCTTCAAACTTTTCAACCCATGGCGCAATAGTATGTAGGGCCGCAGTCGTCGTATGAAGGTTTATATACCTTTATTGACGAGACGGGGTGGTCTCGTTGTAGTTGCGATGGAATACAATGTAGTTGAGACGGGGTGGTCTCTAGGTAGTCCGAGACGGGGTGGTCTCGGTGGTGGACATGGTAGAATGCTGACTTAATCTAGGGCGTGCCTCTCAATACAGGAGAGGTCACGCATCGAGTATCTAACTATTTACCTATGGGTCATAATCACATGTCTCAATGTTCCCTATGGGTTATACATATCAATCACTCAGTCTTAAAGGAGGATGCACCGGTAGGTTCTGGTGACAATCCAGAAACACTCCGCGGGGCAAAAAAGGGGGAAATGAGGATTCGCAAAGATTAATAGAAGGAAGGGTAAATTAATTTAGGGCAATAGATAGAGGTGGTGGATGGGAGTTTAAAGTTTCAGATAAGGCTAAAAGGCAAGGGTTTATATACAACAGGTTCGATGAGTGTTCTGGGAAATATGGGAATACTGGTCCTAGATGGTTCCCTTATGGCTCGTAGGCGGTGATGGCAGTTGCTGTAGGTAGTGGTAGTCTTTGTGGCGTCGGCTGGCTACCAGTCGACTTCGTTCGTGGGTTTCGTTGCGGTGGAGCTTCGGTGGCAGTACCAAAGTTGACGAGTTGGCAGTGAAAAAAAATTGTTTTAAGAATGGCTAATAACACAGAAAGTACGATTTTCGATAGACTGGTATATATAGTGATATGCTTACTAAAGGAAATTATCTTTCGGGGGGAAAGCCGGTCGCTAAAGACGAAACGGGAGCGCATTGTTTCGATCATTCGCTGAAGTATGGAAAGAGAATCCGCAACTATTGTAGCTCTACGCTTGAGGCATAAATCGGCGGAATTTTGTCGGAACTGATATCGATTGTATGAGGCCTGCCCCTCCTTGTTGAATCGGTCAGTTGTGCTACCTTCTTCTACAGATGAACTTTTTAGTGACGCATCGAACAGTCTTGTGACGTCTCTTATTGGCTTGCCCTCCCCTTTATTATGGGATCTGCCCGTGTCGAGAGTTCTGCGACTTCTATGTCGCCTGCGCCTGGGACTGTTTTTAT